TTTTTTTTTTTTGGTATACGACTCGATTAACAATAGTTTATGTAATATTTTATTTTGAATATTATCTTTTTTAATTTTATTTTTGTTTAAAATGTGTAGTAAACATATGAGAGAAATTAGTCATGAATTATAGCATGCAATAATCATGGCTCAATGGGCCAAAACCCAACCTCGGGATGGACGCTCTAGAGTCCCCTACGATAAGGCCCAACTTTGACCTTTTTTTAACATGACCTTCAAATGCGACGTATTTTCTAAAATGCCATTTTTCTTTTCTTGTGCAACAATACACAGCTGAATTTGCACCAGAGCTTGTCGCAAAAGAAAAACGAGTTCCCCGAAATACCCCTTAGAATTACCGATATTCCGCATCCCAAGAAATCAATCAACGGCTCAGATGCAACCGCTGCCTGATCCAAAACCCATCGACGGATGGCGTTCTCTGATAAACACGCCCTTCAAAAAATGAGGCTAATGAGAACTAGGGTTTTTGGCAAAATTTATATATAACATTCTTGCTCCCAAATTGAACGTATCTCTCTCTCTCTCTCTACATTTTCAATTTCATCTCAATTTCTTCTGTTGAATCACGATTCACCAGCCATGGCCAAGGGACCTGGACTCTACTCTGATATCGGCAAAAAAGCCCGAGGTTTTGCTTCATTCAAGCGCTCAATTTATTGTTCTTCGTTTTGTTTCATCTTTTTTTTAGTGTTTGATTTTGTGAGGTTTTTTGTTTTCGTTTTAGATCTGTTGAACAGGGATTTTCAGAGTGATCATAAGCTGACGGTCACCACCGTGTCTCCCACTGGTGTTGTAAGTAGATTTAGCGGTGCTTTTTACGGATCTGTGGCCTTCTGTTTGCTTTTATTTTTTTTAGTACATAGTTTATGATTTGATATTTTGTTGAGCTTGTTTACTGTTATGGCTGGATGCACTTTGGAATATTATCTGAATAGTTCAGTATGCTTTTATTCATGTTTATTCCCAGCTTTATTTTGAACATGTGCTTGTGGTGAACGATTATGGTAGAGCAATGTACTTTATCATGCTCGTACTGTAATTTTAGTATCATTGGGTGGTTGGTTCTGGTGTTTGTGTTTTTAAGTGTATTCGGTTTCGAGATTGGAACATTCATATGTTAGTATTGTCTGACAGGATTATGACGAATTGTAGTGTCAGTGTCATTTTCTGTGATTTTTAGAGATTATAGATGAGTTGATGGTACATGTTTGCTATGTGAAAGGGCATTATCTGTTGATGTATTGTAATATGTAGCCGTTAGATGTTATAATTCTTTTACTGGGTTGTTTAGTAGGTGCACACATATTGAATTGAACTTATATTAGGTTAAAGTTACTGATAAAATGTGATTGTTTACCTTGGTTCTGTTAATTTGTGATACTACTTGAATCTTAGAGAAAACACTCATTTTCGAGGTTTTAGTAGTTGCCACTTATGTTGGCTATTTGACATATTTGGATTGTGGTGAAGTGTGGGAATACTTATTTGACTTGATTAACTAGAATAAGAAAAATAATTGTGAAAAATATGATTTGTTATTCACAAAATGTTGCTTATGTTTCAATCACACCTTCATTGATTATACTCCATCATTTACTGTAACCATCATGCCGATCAATGCACACATTATCCTAATGGATGTTGTGGCACTTGAATTTATCCTTTTTGTATTTCAACACTCATTTTTCTTATTATTGTTGTAGACTCTTACTTCATCTGGAACAAAGAAAGGTGAGTTGTTTTTGGCTGATGTCAACACTCAGCTGAAGCACAAGAATGTCACCACTGATGTTAAAGTGGATACAGCTTCCAATGTAAGCTCTTTTCCTATGTCGACTCTGCATAATTTTTTGCTCAATATACTCCAATTTAGATTTTCTTGTACCAATGTATTTGTGCTACTGTAAAAGCTTCTCAGCATGTTGCTGAATTTGGCTGAATAAATTTATTTGGAACTTTAATTAACTTCTATATACAACTGCAATCCCCAGCTCTATACCACTTTCACGATTGATGAGCCTACCCCTGGCCTGAAAGCAATCTTCAGCTTTCGAGTCCCTGATCAGAGGTCTGGAAAGGTAGTAAAGTAAAATTTTAGTTTTTACAAATTTGAAAAAAAAAAACTCAACATCCCTTTTAATTAACACTTTTTATTGACCATTGATAGCTTGAACTCCAATACCTCCATGACTATGCTGGGCTAAGCTCGAGCGTTGGTTTGACTGCTAATCCCATAGTCAACTTCTCGGGAGTTGTGGGCAATGACAAACTTGCCCTTGGTGCTGATGTGTCCTTCGACTCCAAGGACAGGACTTTCACCAAATGCAACTTTGGAGCAAGTTTCACCAATGCAGATCTTATAGCGGCTTTGACTCTGTAAGTGTGTTATCATTTTTATTTTTTAAAGAGCTAAAACTAAAAAAACAAAAATTAAATAAAAATAAAAAAACCCAAATGTTGAATATTTTGCTCGTGCTTTAGGAACGACAAGGGTGACAAGGTGAGTGCATCGTACTACCACACCGTGAGCCCACTGACCAACACAGCTGTGGGTGGTGAGGTGACCCACAGCTTCTCGAGCAGTGAGAACACAATCACGGTAGGGGCCCAACATGCGCTTGACCCGTTGACCACAGTCAAAGGCCGTCTCAACAACTCTGGCAAGGTGAATGCTTTGATTCAGCACGAATGGCGCCCAAAATCGCTAATCACCTTATCGACTGAGGTGGACACTAAGTCCTTTGACAAGAGTGCCAAGTTTGGGCTGGCTCTGGCACTCAAGCCATGATGAGTTTGGGTTTTGATGGTTTTTCGGGTCCCTTAAATCGGGATGGTTTTGGTTTCTTTTATGCAGCAGCGTATTTTGGTTCTTGTGGAAATAATTAATATGACTTTTATTACTCGAAGGATTTCCTAGTTTTTGAGGTTTTAAGGCTTATTGAACCTTGTGTATCTTCTGGCTTAGGCTTTGGTCCTCATTATTTCTGCAATCTAAGTCTTATCTCATTCCTATTTTTTCTTTCTGGCTTATGCATTGTTCCTCTGATTTCTGATCAGTTCTTATCTCATTTTTATTTGATTTTTCTTGCTTATGCTTTTGTCCTCTTATTTCTGTAATCAAGTCTTCTCAATTTTTACTTGTTCTTTAGACTTCTTCCGTTAAGAGTATGAAAAATGGACAAAAATTGGTTATATGATTATGGGTTTGAAATGGTCAAACTGATTGATTATCCAACATTTGAGAAGTGAATTGCTCCACCTAGTTTAAACATTTGATAAACAAGACTTGACTCATTTGATAAGTGAATTGTTCCATCTAATTTTAAAAAAGCCTATAAATAAATCAGTTTTGCTATGGAGCCATCGGATGGTTCGGTTTATGGAGCAATCTACATTTATTCACCAATAGTGTATTGACATGTGTCATACAATAACTATAATTTGAACATGTGTCAATATATTAATCGATGGATGGCTCCATAAGAAAACAATCCGTTAGCTCCATAGAATTTTTGATAAATAAATAGCTTGATCTTGTTTACAACACAACTTGATTCGTTAGAGTTTGAATTTGTTGCTCGAATTTGTTGATAAATCAGTTGCTCCTATTGTCTTAATCCAGACGCAACTCTGATTCGTTAGAGTTTATGTCTATTGATGTTAATAAATAAGATACTATTCAAATTTATTTATTAGTTCATTTAGTTAATAATTAGCTTGGTAAGAGCTCAATTACGTTCTAAACATAAGAGACTTAAGTTCGACTCGACTTATTTACACAACCAAATGCCCAACCAATGCCGGGCGTTGATTTCCTTGTTGAGAAGACACGGTTTCAACCTTTTTATTTTATGTTACAAATTCATCACTTAAATTTTCCAACATTCCTTTCATCGGTAAATGAATTTATATATTTTTTCGAGTTAAAATGAAAAATCATGAAGTAAATAAAATAATGATATAAATTTTTAATTTTAATTTTTTTTTATTATATTAAACAGTGTCCATATTGGAAAGAGGGTTTAGAAGAAGAAAAACCCTTTCGTCCTTCAGAGTTCAGACACCCTGTTTCTTTCCCTCGGCGGCGCCGGTCGGGAATAATTTTGCGGCTAGCATTAATTGAACCTTAGATTCAGCTGAATTTGAATCTGTCCGAGAAAATGGGTAAAATTCCGTACATGAAGCTCAAAGGAAGCCAGAACCTAAGGCTACGGCTCGTCCTGTCGACGCTGTCCACCACGCCGATCCTAATCGAGGACATACGCGCGGACGCCACATGGCCCGGCCTCCGCCCGCACGAGATTTCGCTCCTTCGCCTCCTGGAGAAGGTCTCCGACGACTGCGTTGTGGAAATCAACGAAACTGGTAATGTCAATGGCAGTCTGGCCAGTGCTTGATAACTTTTCTTCAGATATGTTTGTAGATGGGGTTTATTTAGCTTGATTTTGTTGGGTCTGCCATAAAACTCTTTCTTTTTTTTTTTTTGGTATTAGATATATTTCTGGATGTGTTTTTTTGAGCTTGATTTTGTTGGGTCAGGCACAAAACTCAAGTACAAACCTGGTATTGTTATCGGTGGGAGGCATATAGTCCATGATTGTGGCACGAGCCGAGCCATCGGCTATTTCTTGGAGCCGTTGATCGTGTTAGGATTTTTCGGGAAGAAGCCCTTGAGTATCAGGCTTAAAGGTATCCTCTAGGTTGTTTTGTTTCATTTTCTGTTTTTAGTATCTTCAGTTTGCTGCCTATACTAGCTGTGCAAGAACTGTTCTTTGGTAGAAAATAAGGTTGCTAGGCAATGGGTTAGTGGCATCTGTAAAAGAGAATGTTTATTTATTACAATTGCTAGAACAAACAATTGAACTAACTGCTTCTACTACTTCTTGATCTGGTTTTGCTTAGTTTTGGTGCTTGAGGCTGTACTTAAATGTTAAAATTGCACATTGTTTGATTTGTATTGCTCAGGTATTACAAATGACGCCAAGGACCCATCTGTTGATACGTTTCGCTCGACTACCTTGCCCATGTTGAAGCAGTTTGGAGTACCTTCAGAAGGACTCGACCTGAAAATTGAAAGTCGTGGTGTACCTCCTCATGGCGGTGGAGAAGTTCTCCTTTCGGTCCCAATTGTGCAAGAAAGTTTGAAAGTAAGGGGATGTTTGGTTATAAAATATTTTGATTTTGCTTGGATTATATGGTTTGGTATGTTTAGTATTGGAAAACGTAGTATAGTTAATTGTTACTTGTTAGTGGGATTTTGAGTTTATATTAAAATAACATATAAAATAAGATAGTTAAAGTTGATATTATGTAAAAGTAGGATAGAGATGATGTGAAGTGATGGTTAGTTAAATTATTTGAGTTGATGAATAGTGAATTAAGGTTGATGTAATGTATAAGAATGATTGATTCATGTATTTAATTGTATTGATCATATTGAGCAATATCTAAAGTTGAGTTAGGTTTGAGTGAAAAAGAGTTATTGATTTAAAATGATTGGATCTTTTTTATGGATAAATTTGTATCCAAGAGCTGGCGTAGAAAATTTACTACTTTGGGTTGTTCGATTATTTTTATATTTTTAAGTTTTTTTTTTCTTTGTCGTGTGGGACAGGCAATTACATGGATTGATGAGGGCATGGTTAAGAGGATCCGAGGGGTCAGCTTCTCGACTAAAGTGTCTGTGCAGTTTGAGAACACAATGATACATGCTGCTCGTGGTATTTTCAATCATTTTCTCCCGGACGTTCACATATTCACTGACCATAAAGCTGGACAGCAAGCTGGAAAGTAATATGCTTATTTATTCTCTTCCTCCCATAACAATATAAAAACTCAAGAAAATTCTGTTCCATATTTAATTTTTTTTCTTTTCTTTTTTCCTCTTATACACTGTGATGTTTTCTCAATATGTCCCATTTTTTAACTATCTTTGTAATGTCTGCGCAGTTCACCTGGTTATGGGATCTCACTTGTTGCCGAAACCACATCGGGTTGCTTTATCTCAGCTGACACAGCAGTTTCGTATGGACGGGCCGAAGATGAGGATGAGCTGGAGGATGAGAAGAAAGAATTGAGTCCACCTGGCGACATTGGTGAAAATATCGCATCTGCACTGTTGGGTGAGATTGAACAAGGGGGAGTGGTGGATTCGACTCACCAGGTTTTTTTTTTTAATTGTTAATTTTTTATTATCACTTTGCCTAATTAAGTAATAATCCTTTTACTTGATGAGCTTTATTTATTCATACGTATAGATTGTGGATGTATCTTCAGCTTTTTAAGAGATGAAATGTATTTTGTTCTGTTTGGCGGGGAAGGTGTACTTAAAACACCCCCCTAAGTATTTGTTAATGTGTAAGTTTTGTTAGATAACTAGAGTGTAAGGCTATGTTTGGTAAACCTTAAATCTAATAGCTTATAAGTGAATTTCGAGCTTATAGCTGATTGCTTATGACTTATGGCTGAAAATTAGCTTATTGACAAAAGTGTTCCGCAAAATTAGCTAAAATAAATTTTTCAATGAATCTATTTGAAATGCTACCTAAGGAAGCTTATGAGATAAGCTCGAGTTGTTTGTCCTAAACTCAGGTTATTTGAATACAAGAAACTTATAAGCTAAATCAAATAAAGTATAAGCTAGCTTATATGCTTACCAAACACAAACTTAAGTAATTTGACTAAACTCAGTGGAGATATATTTGTAGTCATCACTTTATATTTCTGGAGTTATAGATATCACTTTATATTTGTAGACATCACTTTATATCAAGATGTGTGCTTTTCTGCAATTTCTAAATTTTCAATGTGTACCTACCACATTTTATTGTTTTGCAGGGCTTATTGTTCCTTCTTTGTGCATTGTGCCCTCAAGATGTTTCTAAGGTTCGTGTCGGGAAGCTTTCGCCATATGGGATTGAAGTCCTCAGGCACATCAGGGACTTTCTGGGCGTTAAGTTTGTGATAAAACCGGATCCTTTGACAGAGACTGTTATTCTTAAATGCGTCGGGTGTGGATTGAAGAACTTGTCGAGGAAAGTTTCATGAGAAACAAATGAACTATTTTTCGGAGTTTTTTTTTTTTTTTTTTTTTTGTGATTTTTTCATGCCTCGAGACTGAGTTATATTTCTTAAAGGCTCGAAACGCATCGCAATCCCAGATCTAATGATGGAAAATACTTTATCCTGAACTGAACAAGCAACGGATTGAGTAACTAGCGCGAAAGCCGTTGCAAAATTGGATTATGAAATCGTGAAACAGAATTTTGGAATTGATATTGATTTTGATTTGTTTATTTCTACATATGACTACAAACTATTGTAGCTTCTATGAATTTACATTACTCTATTAAGTAGAATTTGTTGGTTGCTTTTTACATTTTTATTTACTCTTCTCTTGATTTCCCTTTCTAACTTGTGTGCTGGCCTTTCAACCATTGTGAATTGAGTTTTACTCTAAAATGCAATTGTATGAGAATATATTTATGAAAGTATACATAAATTGGGGTATTTTTTAAATATGTGATTAATATAAGTATTAAAATAAATGGTATCAAACTTATAACCAGACTCATTATAAACTGAGATATTATTAAAATTATTAAAATACATGCTATCACATTTTTTTTTTTTTTTTTTGCAATAAACTTCTTTTAAAACAAGACATGATTAAAAGTGTTACAGTACATGAGGATAGAAATGGATGTATCGAGAAAAGATGAAAAATAAATATGAAAAGACGTAGTGTATAGTCAGTTAGATGAGAATAAATTCGTCATTTATTTGATTAGTAGTCAGTTAGATGAGAATAAATTCGTCATTTATTTGATTAGTTGTTGATAAAACTAAAATAAAAACAAATAGGAGGTAGAGGTAGTATTATTGAGGAATATTGAATATGGGTTCATTTGGAGAGAACAAACTAACAAAGTCCCGCATGCGGTAGAGTTGGAGCTTGAATACGACGTCGTGAAGTTCGAATCTTTCGCTTTCAGTAGCGAGCTCACCGCCTCTTCACAGGCAAGCATCAAACTTTTGTCGCAGGTTTTCTTTTTCCTTTTCTTTTGCTCGCTTTCCTGTGTTTTATAATCGTAGGATTTTGCGTTTTTCTTAATCATTTCGAATATTTTTGAAATATCTAGGTTAGAATTTGGGAGTTCGTGTTCAGAAACTTGCCCGAAATTGCTTCGATACACAATAAATTTTGATGTCTCTTTGAGTTAGCAAGCATAATTAGCTGGATTAAAATGTATTAAAATGGCCATTTGATTTTTTTTTATGCGTGTATTTATTTGCTTGTGTGCAGGTATATATGTAAATTTTTTACATGAAACACAATTTTGATGCTGTATGCATCGAGTTACATCTATAAAGTTCATATCTTGTGTTCTAATTCGATATCTGCATGAAGGGCTTATCTTGAAAAGAAAGGACAATATCGGTGAATAGCTTAGTTTTTTATATAATGGGTTAAAAGATAAGAATTTTCAGATCAAAACACTGAACTGGTAACAGCTAAGAGCCACCACATGGAAAGTCCCAACAATGGTGGAATACCAGAGGATTTGTTACTCGAGATTCTTTTACGGTTACCCGTGAAGGACCTATTGCGATTCAAATCCGTCTGCAAGCGCTGGTACTCTATTATCCGAAGCCCGGAATTTATAAACCAACACTTTCGCCACAAAAGCAATCGAGAATCCCTTCTCATTCGTCACTACAGATACGACTTGGAGCAGTACGCTTTTGCCGTGTATCTCGATGAAAATTTTTCGAAATACGAAGAGCCCGATAATCTTCAGCTTCCCTGCACTGTCTCGGCCCTAATGGGCCCCATAAACGGCATATTTTTGGTTTCCGGCATCTCGGGCCACATGGCGTTCTTGAACCCTGCCACGAGACAGTTTAAGCCTCTCTCATTGCTTTTGCCCAATGTCCCGCCTTATTTATCTCTGTATGACCATTTGTTCGGGTTCGGTCTGGACCCGGTAAGTGGCTCGTACAAGGTTGTCTCGATTCAGTACCATTGGAAACGGGAGACTGATATGGCTCACCACCCGTGTATAATATCCTTCTACACCTCGTCTAGTGATTCTTGGAGGCATTTCGAGGATTCGGGTTTTGTTAATTCGAGCCGCTGTGCGTATAGGTCTTTATGCAACACTTATCTAAAAGGGTTTTACTATTGGGTAATGGATAACTACAAGGATGTTGCTATTCTGGCTTTCGATATGAAAAACGAGAGCTTTACCGAAATACAAGTTCCTGATTGTATTAAGATTAAAGAAGGGGACCTTTCTTTGTACAGAGATTCGTTAGCTCTGCTGACGTGTGATTTGGATAATGTCGACATATGTGTTGATGTTTGGGTGATGGGTGGGAGAGATGAATGCTGGAGTAAATGTTTGACGGTCGGGCCTTTTCAGGACATTAGATGGCCGCTCGGTTTCTGGAAGGAAAACGTGCTTCTGATCGAAACTGAGAATTCTGTGTTGACTATGTATGATGTGAGTGCTCGGAAATCGAGGACTGTGGAGACTCGGAGGAAAGAGAATGGGTTTTTCATTTGTTGGGTGTTTTCTTATAAGGAAAGCCTCGTGTCGATCGAAGGAGAAGGGGAAGGGTGCAGACTGTGGGATGCTTCTTCTGATTTTGTGAGGGATTTTTTCAAGTCATAGAAGGTAGAATTGGTTATATATTTGTTTGTATTTTTAGACAAATCTATGTTTGACTAAAAGCATATACTTACCGATTCTCTTTTATCAGTCTGTAGCGCAAAAAGGTGATGGACTCGTGAATTGCACACTGCAAATAATCGGGAAGGGTTTTTTTTGTATGATCTCGAGGAAGTTAGACATATGGGAATCTCAGGTCAACTTTACTGTTAATGTGCAAACTGCGAAGTAGATATTTTGAATTTGGTAGTTTGTACCTCCTATGTTTGGAAATTTTGTTCAACACTTATATGTATAAACATGTACATTATGAAGTTTTGTTGATGAACAACTAGCTGTTTGAGGTGTTTATTTCTTGTTTAATTGATCTTATTGTAGTGAGACATATCTGCAGTCATTTTTGATATAAAAACTGAGTCTCTGTATTCATGTAAAGGTTAGATAGTTCAGATGTGTGATGTGCATTTGAGGTAAGCTTTAAATCCTAAAAGTTTGGTACACAGAAAGTGATAAAAAATTACAAGTTTGTTACACAATAAGCTGGAAAAAAAAAAATATGGAGATGCGGGGTATCGATCCCCGTACCTCTCGCATGCTAAGCGAGCGCTCTACCATCTGAGCTACATCCCCTTTGATGAACAGTGCTCATCATCTCCAAGTGACCCATGTAGGCAATTACAGATCATAGCTCATAGGAAGATTCCACACCAACCAAGGGAAGCTCTTCATGTGTATCGAGTATGACCCGCTACCCGTATCACATTTGTTTACGAGTGACTTTACAAATCGGGTTCTTTTTTTTTTTTTTAAACTTTTAGTTTGTAATGATGTTTACCCTTTTTGAATTTGATTCTAAAATTTATTATGCGAGGCAATGAATAATAATGTGTGCCTCCATAAGAAATCAAGTACAAAATTCATTTCTTTCCAAACTATATAGGTAGATTAATAATATTTTTCATTTTGCAAATTAAATAGTAATACAAAATTTTAATTAAAAAAAAAAAATTATCATATGGAAATTTACAAAACGTAGAATAGAAAAGGCAAAAAAAAAACCTCCGTTACATTTCATAATGGCTAAATTTGTAAGTCATCAACCATTGCAATAAAACTTTTCTATTAATGACAATGTACCAGATATCATTCCAACCCCGACCAAATGACTCGAGCTGGAGACCAAACAACATTAGCATAACAGCATTTTAAATACAGCAGAACTTGGTAAAGAAAAAGCTTTCAGACCAAACATTTTAACAGTGATAGCAACACGTTACATAATCTAGGGGGGGAAGTTTATAATATATTCCAGCAGAGCAAAAATCAAAGACGAGATGCAACAATGTGTACATAATCTCAACCTTTCAACGTCTCGAATTTACCTACTGAGAACGAAAAAAGTGCGTAATCCAGCAGCGCAGGTACGAAACGCGCCACTAAGGATTATTCTTTTTCAGAATTTTGCTATTTTGTACACTCCAAACACACTTTCTAGACGTGAAGAAAATCGTAACAACTCATCCAGAATATGTGAATAATAATAATACTAATAATAATAAGCCGAAACTCAGAGAGTCTCAGACTGTGTACGACTGCTGAATAGTATCTATGTCGAGATTCTTCAACTTTATAACTGATTCCACGTGGCCCTTCAGCGTAGTCAACTCTCTCAGCCTGCAATATGACAATGACAAAGTGAAGCGAATGTTTTCATGACAAATCAGTATTTTTCAGCTTACTTGATTGTATATGTTCCACAAAAAGGTTTGACTGATTTAGGAAAAAATAAAACAGAAAATATACAATAAATGTAGGTTATTATAATCAATCAAGGACAGAATAAATCTTTGTACCTTGCCATCTCTGCTCGACGCCTGGCCTCTTCAGCTATCTGGTTAAGATCATTGTGTGCAGGACGTTCGTTGTACTGTGTCTCGGGTGGATGAAGCCCGTGAAGTGTCCTCTGAGCCTGTGCCCACTTAAGTTCACGATCCTCTTTGCCGAAATCCTTCTTCTTTGTAAATGCAATCTGCAACATAAAAAATAAAAAGGAAATAAAACAGAAGGTTCACAAAATTGAAGTGGAAAAAGAAAAGTGGAGACTTGAGTATATGTGACATCACTCATACCCTTTGCTCGATAACAAGATCCCAGGCCCTTCCGCTCAATGCATATCTGATGAAGAATTTGATGAAATCGAGTGGGAAATAGAATATTATATTATAGAGCCAGATAACGCCGGCCCAACCCCACCCGATCCCCTCGATCGCGCAAAAACTCCAGTTTGCATATACAGCAATCAGTGTAGCAATCTGCCGTTCAACAAAAACAAAAATTAAATTTGTTGTAACTAAAAAAGGGTAGAATGTAGATGTATAGATAATGGCACGTTTAGATAATTATAGAAAATGGGTTAAGGTTTACTTACTAGCTGTGCAATAAGGAAAGCCCCCACGAGAAGAGATCCAGGGCGCTCGATGAACGACCAGCTTCTTGATCTCGTCACAAAAATGAGGGCCTGGCTGACTATACTCACCTGTAGGTATATGGCCGAGGCAAGCATTCTGAAGTTTGGGTTAACTGATCTCTCGAGAGACCTAACTCCGAAAACTCTCTGTAAGTTTGAGGACAAAGGTTAAAGATACACCGACAGATGAAATAATTTTCTCTCCAAAACTGGATGTATTTACTTGGAGAAGCTTAGTAACTCTTACTAGCTCATGACCATGTTTTGGAAAAGCGTAATTCGGGTAACTAATATTGTATTGGAGAAAACGGAGGCACTTACGGGGAAGAAGTCAGTATCATAAGCTGCCCAGAAGAAAATGACAGTCATCATCGCCAAGTAGGCTCCAAGAACAACTCCTGTCGTGAAAATCTCAGCTAACTTCCAGCTGTCTGGTAAAGGAGATGGCTTCACCCTATCCTTTGATATTGTCATGATGGTCCCTGCAAGTCATAATAAACCAACAATATCATTTCCTGTTTGAGCGCCAGACGAATGGAAAACATATTAAAGCAAGTGGCCAAAAAGCTGGGGAAAAAGGTTGAGAGAATGAATCAGATTTGAATAGTAAGCGAAATTGAGGGTGGAGCATATAATACAATCACGAGTACTCACCATCATTAAGAATGGCAATAATCAGAACCATAAAGGGAGGGAAGTCAAACTGCCATATGAGTGCAAGTAACATAAACCCGAGCTGTGAAGAATGGAACATTATAAAATGAGAAAATAATCTTACATTGTGGCATTGTGCTATGAATTAAATAAAATAATTATCTCAAAGGCTTACAACAATCCGAATTGTAATGGAAACAGCATATATCTGCATGATTGGTGAAGGTAAACTAGTTAGTAGAAAGAAAATAAAAATAAAAATAGTGAAATGCACAGGAACATATAGGAAGGTGTGTTGTGAAAAAAAAGTTACCGTGTAATTTTTCATCCGCTGGAAGATTGCACGACTGGTGAGGACTGCACTGATGATTACACTCAGACCGGGTTCAGTCAGTACGATGTCAGATGCACTTCTTGCAGCATCAGTTGCATCAGCAACAGCTATTCCAATATCAGCCTTTTTAAGAGCAGGGGCATCGTTGACCCCATCCCCGGTCATCCCACATATATGTTTACGAGCTTGCAAACGCTTGACAATTTCATACTTGTGCTCTGAGATGAAGAACATAAAATTTCTAAAATATACGAAACATCAGGGGAAAAAAGGAATACAAGCGAAGAGTAGGAAATATAGCATACCAGGAAAAACACCAGCAAAGCCATCCGCCTTTTCGATCAATTCATCGATCGGCAAAGCAGCAATGGACTCGTCTTTGTCCTGTCCTAATAAAGAAGACGAAGGATACATGTTTGTACCCATTCCCAAACGACGCCCTGTCTCCTTGCCTATTGCTAGCTGATCACCTGATAAACATTGATCCAACATGAGTCATGGCAATAGTTTACTCGGAAATTCTTTCAGCATAAAACACAATGGTAAAGCAAGCAATGACATTATCTGGTCTTCCTCATAAATGCTGATGTTGCACTGAAAATGGTCAACTATTTCTTTTCCATCTTCCCTTATTCTCCAGATTCAGTAAACTCTCATACTCCAAATAGTTAACTAAAATGGGCACATTAGCTAAAAAAGCTTACCAGTAATCATTTTAACATTTACTCCTAGATTCAGAGCCCTTCTGATTGTCTCGGCGCTATCATGCCTAGGAGGATCAAAAAGTGGCATAAGCCCAAAAAATTGCCATGGACCTCCTGGGCTCTCTTTCCTTCCTTCAGGAACTTCCTGTAGAGCAAGAAAAATGATTATCAATTCATAACGATAATCATCTTGAGCGGCCTACACCTGTATTTAAATTCAAACGACACTGTATTTAAATTCAAATGACACTGGAAATTAAATATATCATTATCATTATTGCTTTACCTGGTATGCAACAGCAAGAGACCTTAATCCCCGCTCAGCAAATTTATCGATGACCGAATGGACTCGTCGCTCAATCTCAGGTCTGTTGTATGCAAGGTTCAGTATCTGGAAATCGATCATGGTATTCAATGGTCAAAAGACATTTATAGCAAACATTACAAAAAATTATTTGTGAGGGAGTTTTTGACTAACCTGTTCAGGAGCTCCCTTGCTAGCTCGATGCATTTTACCATCACTATCGATGTACGTCAATGCAGTGCGCTTATCAGTTGGATTGAATGGTAGGAAATGAACCTCCTGAATTCCGGCCCTTGCCTTTTTATTTGAAGCGCATAATATATAGTCAGTAAAAAAAAAGGTAAAAGTGTAAACCAAAACAGACCGGTCTCCTAATTGAGGTACTTAAGATCTTTATATAACTTCATGCAGCAAACAACTAAAGAATATATATATATATAACGGTCTCCTAATTGAGGCACTTAAGATCTTCATATAACTTCATGCAGCAAACAACTAAAGAATATATATATATATATATATATATATATATATATAGTCATACCTCCTTGGGATCAGCCAACATCCCTACAATTGCCGCATCAATCGCATCTTGATTTTCCAACCGAGAGGCTCGGGCAGCCATCAACACAACCGTATCAGCATCCACTCCTTTTGTGAAAACCTGCAGTTAGAAATACAAAAGCTATAACATGCTTGCATTGCTTCACTCAACTTTAGATACACAAAATCTCAAAGTATTCCATCAACCTCGATGAGATTTTTATCGACTGTTAGCTTATTTAATGTCAGAGTTCCAGTTTTGTCACTGCAAAGCACATCCATGCCGGCCATTTCTTCAATTGCTGTCATTCTCTTAGTGATGGCTCCCTGCGGAGTATTGACAAGAAAACAATACATGAACCAAATAAATTCAAAACCACAAACGAAAAATTTAAACCAAACCATCAAAATACAATTATACCTGCTGGGACAAACGGTGTGAACCAATTGCCATTGTAACAGATAAGACTGTTGGCATTGCAATTGGAATTCCTCCAATCAGAAGCACAAGCAAATTATCGATTCCTGGACGATAAGCACGGTGTTGAATAGGGTACATCACAATAATCTCGATAATCATTCCCACTGCAATCGAGCATATGCAGAAGTTCCCGATCGCAGTCAAGACCTTCAATTGACAAACAAAAATCACCTCATGAAAACCAACATAAATCAACAACAAATAGTAGTAATATGAACCGGCAACATCTAATCTTCAAGCAAAGGCAAACCCTCAAGTGCTCACCTTCTGAAAATGTCCTACTTGATTAGTGGAGTCCACTAAGTGAGCAGCCTTCCCAAAGAATGTATGAACACCAGTTGCAATGACCACAGCATCAATTTCGCCCTGTTTCACTGTAGAGCCCGAGTAAACACCATCTCCAGGGGCTTTTGTCACGGGCAGGGATTCACCAGTGAGAGCAGACTGCAAACAAGAATCAGCACAAGTTAAAATAAATAAAAGTATACACATCCAAATTAAGAGAACACAAAAGTGAAGAGGAGAACCTGGTCTATCTTTAACGGATCTCCGTCAAGGAGGCGAGCATCTGCAGGAATAATATCGCCCAACTTTATACTGATTACATCGCCAGGAACAAGAACCGCCGCATCTTCCTCATTCCAACGCCCATCACGAAGAACCTAAGAATAATTTTAGTTGCATCACCAAAGAGAAAGTGCTTCAAAAGAGAAATAAACAATCATGATAAGCGACCCGAAACATGCAATGCTGTAGGTAGAACGGGATATGCACCTTCGCTTTAGGTGCTAAACGGGCCATGAGAGCAGCAGCTGCATTCCCTGCATTGTTCTCCTCTATGAAACTTATGGTTGAGTTAATCACCAGAAGAATTATGATACCAACAAAATCCTGCCAGTCTGGTGGTCTTCCCTGCAAAACACGAAATAGCAAATAGTAAAGCTTAAGAGCAAACAACAGATAGTAAATAGAACTGAAATTTACATGGACGGCTTTCCCACTGGAATAGAAAACAAGAGCTTACATTGTTCGCTCACTTATTAGTTATTACCCATATACTTGGAAAACAACCAAATAAAGTGAACAGAATTCTAAAAAAGGTAGCAACAATAATGTCTACAGAAGAGCAACAGAAACCAAAAAGGCGCACATAATATACACACAAGCAGGGAGATATCGAGATATATCGAGATAGAAAGAGAGAGCATACTCCTCCATTTGCAAGAGCTATGGCCATAACGGCCGCGGCCTCCATCACCCACGACAGAGGATTCCACATAAATCCCAAGAACTTCAGAAATTTACTCTCCTGCAATTTGTCATCAGATGTTTACATAAAAACCAGAGCAAATCAGACACGAGAAAATCCCCAGTAAAGACGAAAGAGAACTTATCAAATAAAAGAAAAAAAAAAAACTGTTCGTAGGAAAAAAGCTGACCTCCTTCTCCTCGAGCTTGTTCTGACCGAAAATTTCAAGCCTCCTGTTAGCATCCTCCGACGTCAGCCCCTCCCTCGTGCATCTCAGATTCTCGAACACCTCCGGCACCGGTATATTTTCCTAAACAAAATCAATTCGAGCAAAAATCAAACCAGAAAACATCGAAGAACGAAAAGAATGAATAGCGAAAACGACGAATATAGCGTAAGATAAACAAATATTGAAAAAGAAGAACAACACACCAAATCAACCGTCTCTCTCTTGAGAGCCTCCATAGCTTCATCCTTCGCCGCCATCCCTACCAAAAACACACACACAGCAATCGGCAGATTTTTCGGTTAAATTCTCACCTTACTCTCAAGGTATGCATACGCTTGAGCTCTTAGCTATTATGGAAACCAGATTTTTTTGTATATTTTGCGTGAAACGAAAACAAACCTGAGAAAAACTCTAGTTCCCTACGGCACTTGGACTGTGACAGTAATCCGCTGATACAGAGATGGAGCTGATAACGAATATGAAGCGACTATATATGGCTGCCATGTATATACTGTATACACACGCGCCTGATATGACAGTATGACACGCGCGATACGGGGCGCGTGCAGTGGTGTTGGGTACCGGAGTGTACGGTTGCAGGTGAGCCGCTGTATAGGACCAGCGGAAAAATATCATGTACGTTGCGTGTGCGGAGTAAAAATATGTGATCTGGGTAAAGTTTAAAGGGGACTATACTCCTTTTCGTCAAACTTTGTAATCGTTAGATCAATTATTTTCGACAATTATATGATGATTTATCGATTACAAATTCCGACAGAATAGTTCCATTACGAGATTGTAACATTTCCCTTCTTTTTTTATTTTGTAAATAATCTCATTAATTAATATAATTATTCAAGTATCGTTGTTGGACTATTCTTTATACTATAAAATGATACGATTTATTTATATTTGTTTTAAATAAATATTTAAGTATGAAAGTACATATGTTTTCGGAAATGTGTTACTTTACATTAGGCAGCCTTAATAACGAGAAATGCTACGGTCTTGTTACGGAATTATTTCATTGGGGTTTGTAATCGTTAGACCATAATTTAACCGCCAAAGATAGTTGATCTAACAGTTACAAACCTTGACTGAATAATTTCGTAACAGGACAATAGCATCTTCCCATAATATTTATTTAACAATTACGTTATTGAATTTATAGTTTTTATGATTATCAAGCACAATATAACTAGGTCGACACCAATGATACGGTTAAATTGCTCAACATTAAGCAATCTCACTTTTTTTTATAATAATGCATATGGGCATTACTATTCACCGCCCCCCTTATTACTAGTCACCGCCCCCCTTGGACATTTTTGCCCTTTATTACTATCTCTCTCTACTCTATCTCTCTACTTTTTTTCTTTC